TTGACACCCTGCCACAATCTCAACCCTTTACAAAAACTCAAGCTTCTATTAGAATTAAAATTGTCATTACGCTGACCCATTTTAGATTATTTTTGGCTTGTATGCCTTTAAAGAAGACAGTGGAAAGAGTCAGGCGAGGATAAGGTGATGACCTGAGGTGTAGTTCCCAGGGTTGGACCCTAACCCAAGCCACGGGATACAGCACCTTTATGCAAGGCAAAATTGCTATGCTCTCCAGCTCTTAAACATACTAACTCATTTGTGGAAAAGGCCTCAGGGGGAGTCTTCTGATACCTGTAAATACCTTTAAACTTTTGGCTCTAAAACAGCTCAGAATGTGGCTGTAATTATAACAGTGTAAACCTCTGAGCCTATTCCATTAAGGACACTAGTGTCCAGCAAGGATAACAGAGTTAAGTCAGAAATGGCGACACTATGAACATTTCAAAATGTGACTTCACAGAAGGGTCTGTCATGTAAATAATACATTTGTAATTGGCAAAAAAAAAATCTGCAATGAATAGAATAACCTTTAATGTATCACTGAGAAAGTCAAACATGAAACCCTTAATCAAAATAATCAAAGACAGAATTCTGTACACAATTTGTGCTTTACTGACAAAAGAGATTGTACAGTTTCTACTGTTGATTGCAAGAGCAGTGCTGATCCATCACGTCGCCACAGGACAACACCTCAGCCATTGTTCTACTACTGTATAACTGAACAGCACAGTGTCAATCTGTCAGCCTTCCCCCTATGTGTACTGTTTACAAACAAGACAGCAGAAAATAACAAGTGCAATGCAGTTATGACATTTCAACTGAAAGCATGTGACCGCAACATGAAGAAAAAAAAATCTGGTTGTTGGATTGATAGCCAAGAGTCATGAGTATGAAAATAAAAAGGAATAAAAACATGAACTGCTCCTTTATGTCTTGAATGTTTTTTTTTTTTTTGGTGCTCCTTTGAACATTAGGCCACACAGAGCATGCAAAACCTTTCATGAACAGAGATACCAGTTCACCAGACTGTTCCCTGACAGACGGTTATAGTAATTCAAATGTTAAATAATGTCAAATTGTGCCACAATGACAACTTCAAATGATTGACAGAGACTTCACCGAAGTCATAAAACAAAGGGGGCCCGCCCAAAGATTTCCGCATGGCAAAATCTGGACAGAAGAAAAGGTACAGGACCACAAAGTCAAAAAAAAAAAAAGAAGAAAAAAAAAAGGCAGACAATATCTCCCTAGGGTTGTCTCTGAAGAAAAATGCTGACCCTTCATCCTTCTTGACTTCATTTCCAGACATGATAAAAGGATATCAAATCCTTTAGAAAAATTGAAATCAAATTTCAAAATTTTAGAGAAAAATGATTCTGATGTCTGATTTTTGAGATATGAAACAATAAGGGAACACTTCTACTTTATCTATCCAAACTGTTTTCCCAAATTTTCAATGTTGTAATGGTACAGTTCTATGTTTTATGACCAGCCCCTTTATTCACAGCTTCCAGAAGGACTGAACATATGTATGAGCTTTCTCATTCTCTAACCTTTAAAGAAATATTCATAAACCAACAAGTGCTTTATAAGCAAATGATTGTAGTGTGATTCAAATCTTGGAAAACTGCTGGAGACAGAAACTAATAAAAAAAAAAAAAAAGCATTATAATATCACCATTGTTATATAAACTCATTTTCTATTCTTATAGTATTTGACATGTAAAGACCAAGAGGAAAAACATAACAAAGGCGTCAGTGGAACTTAAGGCTGAAATTTGAAAAAGAAAAAAACACACCAATAGAGCATAAGTTATAAATTCCAAGAAGTTATTCATCTAGAAAAATATCAAATTAAAAATAAAACTTATAACAAATAAGAAAGACAGACAAACAGTTAAAATCTCTGGTAGACCATAAAGCAAGAAAAGCATCAACCATGCTCCAAGCACAGCATCCCTACAAGGCGACCTGCAAGTCAGTAAGGCCATCTAGCTCTCCTCAGGTCTGGACATGTTTTTCTTCTGAACGTGGATCAAAAGATGTAGTCTCGGGTCATCTTGAGGGACGGCATGGCCTCGTTGACATTCTGGTCCAGGCGGTGATACTCCACAGTGTTTCGTGAACACAGCCCGTCCTTCCAGCGCCGGCTTTGAGCCAGGAGGAAGATCTATAAAGAAAGAAGAAAAAAAGCGTTTAAGATATATGGAAATCAAATAATTGGATGTACAAGTGCTGATCAACTAAATTATTATAGTATTTCCTGCAGAAAAAATAAAAGACTAAATAACTGGTTCATTACTTCAGCTGTAAACCCAGATTTACATGAAAGCAGCATAATATATATAACGCAATGCATGCTTCCTCTGAAGATTGGTCAGAGGGGGAACATTTATCCCTGGAAAGAAAAAATGATGAATGCCGTTTTCCTCAGCAGAAAACTGATTAGGAACTGAACCATACACATCTTGGAACAAACTAGGGACGTTCCTAGGGGCTCATTTAGCGGGTTAACAATTCCAAATTGGTAATTTGTGGCTAACTTTAGCAGTGCTAACCTTCTGTCCTCCTTGCAGGTTAATTTGATTATGAATTGTAGGCCTTTCCTCGACTAAGGATTTACATAGTCAAACCTGATTTATCAGATTTGTCCTGATCATTGAATGTTTTGTTGTTATTTTTGCGCTCATTGATCCATTTTGTCATTTCTTTTAATTTTGTGAGGTTGTGCCCTTAGGAAAGCTACTCCTGATGGTCAAATACATTCTCACCGTTTCTCTCCACCCCAATATCTATAGATTTATACTTTATACTACCACAAACAAAGTAAACCAGTGTGTTTTAGGACAGTGTGATGGTTGCATATGGTTTATTTGTATCTGATCCTTTAATTCAATTTAGTCAATGTTTCAGTGTGTCAATGTTGAGCCCGAAACAAATTGTCAAGGCCAAAGTTATTCTCAGCCTCTAGATATCAAAATCAGGGGTGTGACACTTAACGTTTAAACATCTGACAAAAAGGGCTTTTAAACAGACAATCTTAAAACCTGTACCAAAAAAAACAAAACAGAAAAACCTCAGATCTGTGATGTCAACTACATCCTGAGCTGTTACTCAACACTCACCTTCCTCTTGTTATGATAGGTGATGTAAACAATCGCCACCAAGAAAGCCAAGATGACCAGATGAAAGAAGAAGTGGGAGTCTGTATCCTCTGTGTTGTAGCCGTCAGATTCATTTAAGTGTGTTTCAAGAATCCCCTTTGGTGGCTGCAGGCTATTCTCATTCTGGCCCTTGAAGCTGATGTTATTGTCATACATGTTGTCTCCATCGTCACCATCTCCGTAGTTAGGGTCTTCATCATCGTCATCATCTGTGTAACGCCGTGGTCCATTATCGGTGGGCTCCAGCAGGGCTGGGTCCTGCATTGTGGGCTGATTCAGAGCATCAGAGAGTTTGGAGTGAGAGTCAGGTACATCCAGCTCATCTATCCCAAGTTCAGTTGGTTCAGGGGCTTTGGTGGAAGTGGCTGGAGCCGCTTGAGTTGAGGCTACTTCAGCAACTTCAGTTTTATCTGTTGCCTTGACTTTTGCTGAGTTTACATTATCCTTTACTGGTGTTGTATTTGCATTGCTAGCATTGCTCATTGCTTGCTCCTGATCAGAATCAGAAATGATGGTTACTGGATGCGCTCCCTGGCTCCCTTTAGATGTTTTTGATTGAATGGCTGTCGTCAATGTGATGTCAGCAGAAGCCTTTATTGTTGCTGTTGTTGTGGAGTTGTTGCCAGCAGGTGATACAGGGTTCTTGGAACCTGTCGAAATATCTGGAATCTTGGGAACCGTTGGAGTTTCTGAATTATTGAGATCTGTAGCGGGGGCTGGATCTTTTGGAGCTGCTGTAGTTTCTGAATTCATGGGACCCGTTGAAGTTGCTGGATTCTGATCAGGGGTCGAAGGCTTTGGGTCGTCCTTTTTTATAGTTGTCAAAGAAAGAGTTTCATCCTCCTGATTAGTGTTTGCAGACACTGTAAGGTAAGAGGGAATAAAAGTGCAAGAATTTTTATACATGGTTACAAAATAATATTGACAAAATTGTTATTTAAAAACGCATCAAAAACATTGAGCCAACACAAGAAGTGGCAGAACATTCAAGTTCCTTCATTTAAAGCTGATTACTTTTGACATGTACTCAGTGTAATCATCTTTTGTGTGTTGTTTTTTAAGTTTATTGTCCGGTGTCTTTCAATAAAATTTTAAAAAAGCTGAATACTTTGTACTCTTGTAATATGTATCATGTTTAACAACAGCAGCTATAGCTGTTAAATTAGCTTATCCTCCCACTAAGAGACTTAAATACTCTTGGGCAGGGCAGTCAACTCTCTTGCTGCCATAAGAGAGCTGTGAAGTGGAAACTCATGCTTAACACCAGCTTGTTTGTGTGTGAAACATGCATACACCCACAACTTGCCCTCATCGCACAACTACTGGTGACAAACAGTAACGACAAATAATGCTTTGGCGATTAATCAATGTTTCCATTTTCAGGAATTAATTCCGTAGATTACTGATAATGGACATCTCGTCAGCCTTTCATTAGTTTCAATTAGGCTGGCAGATCTTCTTACAAGAGGTTTGAATACTAATAGTTTTTTCAACTTTGTCCAGGAGTTTTAAAAAAATTTGCAGTAAAATTGAATTGAACAAAACTGATGTGATTTGTAATAATTTCCAAAGCTAACGCTGATCCTGACTCATTTGGCCACCTCTCCTGAATCAATGACATCCTTCAACCAATAAGTGTCAACATTATTCTATCCTGTGGGAGGAGGAGGCGTTGCTTAGGCAGGGATGGATGGAGAACACCAGGGACTTGAGGCCCGAGGTAAGACGTCACAAAGAGAAGAAAGAGACTATTCATACACATAAGCCACAGCCTGCATAAATAATCACTGAACAGGAGATCTTTGTGGTAGCTGGGTGAAACTAAATTTAGTATATTCAGCTTAGATTATTCTTGTTTTGATATTTAGTATGTTAATAATATTTCACTTAACCCCAAATCTCGTCATATTCTAATCTTTAACTAAAAAGGCCATTGTTCATTTGTCACTGTTAGTGAGATTCACCCCATATCATATTTGTATGACCCCCCTAAAACAAAACTTTAATGCGTTTAAGTCACAAACCAATTGAGCAACTACACATCTGATAATTAAATGTTTGTTTTACAGAATAATTATGCAGTCTATTCAAGTCAATCAAATTCCTCCCTTTGTTTGAATGCTTGAATCTAACAGCAGGTTACGTTAAACAAAATGTTTGTGTAACCTTAAATACTTCAAAAGAAGATGACATTTCAACTTGGTTAATACTGCTATCAGATACTAATATGATTCTAGGCTACAAGGAGATATTGCAGTAAATATCTCCATTACATAGTTCTGCTTACAAGACAAATTGGACAAATGTTATTAGAAATACTTTTCAGAACAAATGCCCTTAAATAAGTTTCAGCTGCTGATGAATAATCAACACATGTTTTTTTTTTTTTAGCTGTGTCTGTGCACCTTTGTCTCAGTTGTACACAGAGACAATCAGATAGAGAAAGAAAGATAAGAATTATGACTTTACAGTCCTCTTGGGAAGGAAAAAGAAATAGGCCAGGTACTTTATTTTTCCCCCTCAAAAAGACAAAGACTAACACAATGTTGCAATCTGAGATGCACAAAGATGCAGTAACAAGATACATAGTCTTCATTTTTAAAAGAATAGAGAAAACAGGCTAAGAAACCAACACAGCTGACCCATTTAAAACTGATTTAGTCAATATATGACGCTAAGTCAAAGTCCATTTATGCAAGACCGAGCCTGCCTATGGGGTCAATTTTACAGCCCTTTCCCTTGGTGGTTAACTTCAAAGGCTTTTTCTTTAGAGGGTATGGGAACTGGACTGACAGGGGTACATTAACAGAATAGATATATGACAAGGACACCTGAAACAATAACTTTTTCAGGCCTTCACAAATCAAAAAAAGCTCTGGAGTCGCCGCAGGGCTGCTAAAAGCAGACGCGTTCAAAGGACTGAACTTAGTAGATGTCAAACCCAACACAGGTTTAATGTTAAGTTAGTTGCTTGGTTATCAAGCATTGATGACTGGTTAGACTTGTAGTTACAGCCTATGGTTAGATAGTGAGCCTAAGGTATGCTAGACATGGCGTCTAAAAAGGTTATTTACGTTTATTTCGATACGCATAAATCTCAAAACACAACGGACGTCTCTCAATAACAAACCTTTGAGGATGAACTCCTTCAATGTTAGTTTGGAAATTGGTTTATATCCTATACCCTTAGATGGTTCAATAATGACTTAAGTTAGAAATTGTACTTTTCTGGGTCCCTCTCACCTGACATCCTGCTCGCTAGCATGACGTATTAGCCAACAAGCTACAGCAGTGTTATGTAGCTACCTGACTAGCTAACTACCAGTCCTGTGGTTAGTTAAATCAGAAATTCCTTTTTAAATAATTCATAAAAGTGTAACATACCTGATGTCGAGCCTTTTATCGGAAGTGACAGGCACTGTGAGGCAAATAGCTGGACGAAAATTAGCCAAGAAAGAGCACAAATGTGCCTCCTGCTTCGACTCATCGTTCCGTGCGCCGCCATGTCGATGTGTGAGTGACTGAAGAGGCGTGGTCTACAGTTCACCACGAACACGTGACTGTTTGTCATAGACTGGTGAGAGTCAAATAGACAATAGACTGGTGAGAGTCATATAGACTGGTGAGAGTCATAGACTGGTGAGAGTCAAATAGACAATAGACTGGTGAGAGTCAAATAGACAATAGACCGGTGAGAGTCAAATAGACTGGTGAGAGTCAAATAGACTGGTGAGAGTCATACAGACTGGTGAGAGTCATACAGACTGGTGAGAGTCATACAGACTGGTGAGAGTCAAATAGACTGGTGAGAGTCATACAGACTGGTGAGAATCATACAGACTGGTGAGAGTCATACAGACTGGTGAGAATCATACAGACTGGTGAGAGTCATACAGACTGGTGAGAGTCATAGACTGGTGAGAGTCAAATAGACTGGTGAGAGTCATATAGACTGGTGAGAGTCATACAGACTGGTGAGAGTCATACAGACTGGTGAGAGACTTATAGACTGGTGAGAGTCATACAGACTGGTGAGAATCATATAGACTGGTGAGAGTCATACAGACTGGTGAGAGTCATACAGACTGGTGAGAATCATACAGACTGGTGAGAGTCATATAGACTGGTGAGAGTCATAGACTGGTGAGAGTCAAATAGACTGGTGAGAGTCATACAGACTGGTGAGAGTCATACAGACTGGTGAGAGACTTATAGACTGGTGAGAGTTATATAGACTGATGAGAGTCATAGACTGGTGAGAGTCAAATAGACTGGTGAGAATCATATAGACTGGTGAGAGTCAAATAGACTGGTGAGAGTCATATAGACTGGTGAGAGTCATAGACTGGTGAGAGTCAAATAGACTGGTGAGAGTCATATAGACTGGTGAGAATCATACAGACTGGTGAGAGTCATATAGACTGGTGAGAATCATATAGACTGGTGAGAGTCAAATAGACTGGTGAGAGTCATAGACTGGTGAGAGTCAAATAGACTGGTGAGAGTCATATAGACTGGTGAGAGTCATACAGACTGGTGAGAGTCATACAGACTGGTGAGAGACTTATAGACTGATGAGAGTCATAGACTGGTGAGAGTCATATAGACTGGTGAGAGTCATACAGACTGGTGAGAGTCATATAGACTGGTGAGAGACTTATAGACTGGTGAGAGTCATAGACTGGTGAGAGACTTATAGACTGATGAGAGTCATAGACTGGTGAGAGTCATACAGACTGGTGAGAGTCATATAGACTGGTGAGAGACTTATAGACTGGTGAGAGTCATAGACTGGTGAGAGACTTATAGACTGATGAGAGTCATAGACTGGTGAGAGTCAAATAGACTGGTGAGAATCATATAGACTGGTGAGAATCATATAGACTGGTGAGAGTCATAGACTGGTGAGAGACTTATAGACTGATGAGAGTCATAGACTGGTAAGAGTCAAATAGACTGGTGAGAATCATATAGACTGGTGAGAATCATATAGACTGGTGAGAGTCATATAGACTGGTGAGAGTCATAGACTGGTGAGAGTCAAATAGACTGGTGAGAGTCATATAGACTGGTGAGAGTCATACAGACTGGTGAGAGTCATACAGACTGGTGAGAGACTTATAGACTGGTGAGAGTTATATAGACTGATGAGAGTCATAGACTGGTGAGAGTCATATAGACTGGTGAGAGTCATATAGACTGGTGAGAGTCATACAGACTGGTGAGAGTCATATAGACTGGTGAGAGACTTATAGACTGGTGAGAGTCATAGACTGGTGAAAGACTTATAGACTGATGAGAGTCATAGACTGGTGAGAGTCAAATAGACTGGTGAGAGTCATATAGACTGGTGAGAGTCAAATAGACTGGTGAGAGACTTATAGACTGGTGAGAGTCAAATAGACCGGTGAGAGTCAAATAGACCGGTGAGAGACTTATAGACTGGTGAGAGTCAAATAGACTGGTGAGAGACTTATAGACTGGTCAGAGTCATATAGACTGGTGAGAGTCCTTCCTGTAAAAGACTCACTGTTATTAACAAATAAGTTAACCCCAACATAGAAATATCACAGAAAAAAAGATATCCACGAGTGAACCTTTAACTACTTCAGATATTAGTTTACACTTTCAATGCCTTGTTTAATGAAAAGGTTAAAAATGAAAAGTATTTCAGCTATGACGTTAATCACAGCTACAGATTGTAAGCCCATTAAGCATATGCAAACTTGTCACACCCATAAGCTTGTTTTTTCATCTATTTGCTAAGCTAAATTGTCAAGGTTGGCTGTTTGTATGTTATGTTAAGTCTATGATTTCTGAACACTCATTGGAAAAAGAAAGTCATGTACAGAGGTGACCTCAGCCTCCAGGAAGTTGTTATAACAAAATAAAGAGCAATACAATTAGAAACTGGTTCAAGATGTTCTTTATTTAATTCAGGGAATGGCAATACTGTCAGTAACACTAAGTACGATTCCCATAACCAGTTGTGGAAGACTACCACCTCTCCATTATATTCATTATATTCAGCGTCCTTCTTTAAAGAAGTCCTGTAACTCTCCTCCACTGGGTTTCACTGTGTGCATGATACATTTTTCTTTTATTGGCTCTAATCAACAGATCCTCACTTTCATAAGACTTCACATGTGGAATAAACTATGTAAGACTGTCAATAAAATAATGTTCTTTTTGCTTTATGTAACAAAAGACATGTTTTACACCAAATGCACAGACAAAGAACATGTGAGACAAAAACACACAAAGTATACACTGGGGTTAACTGTCTTTTAGGGCAACTGGCAGCAGCTTACACCAGGGACAACTAACCCTCTCTGTTGAATAAGATAATATTAAGACAGACAGTAGAGCTCTCAAGTGAAGAGGTGTGGAAGTAACAGTTGTCACCACTACTGCTTTAGAGCCAGGAGTGCTTAATGATGCAATGTAACAGCACCATCTAGTTGTATAACTACTCAACTGTATGCTGGATGTGTTGAGTCCTGTACGCATTTTGAGCTAGTTTCTTTTTCCCTTTTCTCTGGGTTGGAACGCTAAGAAATTAAAGCATCATGTAGGAATGTAGTGAAACAACAAAGAGTGAGGCCAACATCTATGTCCTCAAAAAGCTACCTTTCCCATGTGAGCTACATAATTCATGATAAAATGTTCCATTGTGGTTTTGTTCTGAGCATTGGCTCTGTATTACGACAAAATAATGTTCCCTTTAAGTGGTCCTTTAAAAGTGGTAGATCATTGAAAGAACAATTTGACCTTTAAGCTGTCTTCTTTATCCAGCTGTAGCATTTCTAGGGGGAACAAGGGTTTTGTGAGGGCTAGCTAATCAGTAAAGGATTTATTTATTTTTGGAAAGGGGGGGGGGGGGTGCATGTGTGTTGGGAGGAAAAGAAGCCTCATCCTCCTATGCCTGGAATTCCAAGCCGAGACCAAGCTTGTGGCCACCAGCGTTGATGTTCTTGCCATCGAGGAGAGCAGAGAGGGTAAGCTTGATGCCTGCAGAAACAGAGACATCTAGTGAAGACATGCGCAGACTAAACCATTTTTACAAGCGGCAACATTTAGATATTTTTTGCCAGTCCCATGAACAAATGTATGGAATATTTATTTTACAACACAGTTTACTGAGCCACACTGATATACGGAAAGTTTCCCACCTCCATCATGTCTGTTTTCTACCACTATTCAACATTAAAGTATATAGTTCTTTAATTTGTCTTCTGCTGTTTGTCCTTGAAATCAAAGTCATATTGCACTATATTACTGTTCTGTTTAGGGTTTAGCTCTAATCGAACTGAAGTTTGCAGAAGAATGCATCTTTAAGTAGTGCGATGCATTCTTTTCGATCAAATACTTCAAAAACTGCAAGACAGCCCATCACAATAAACATGTCCTCTGTACATGTGTAAAATAAACCTCAATTATAAAACTAAATATTCCACGCACACATCTCAATCACTCTGCTCAGATCAGGCCTACATTCGGATTTTATCAATTGTTATAACATTATCTGGTTCACAGTGTTCGATTAAAGAAATATTGTTGTCTCTGTAAACATGGTCAGTTCATTAAAGCACTTGATACTTCTTTTATAAAACAAGTGCACTCACCTGGCTTAAGAGTCTGAGTGTAGCCCAGGCCCACAAGGCTGGAGTTGTTCACCTTGGCCTGTTTGGGAAACACATGAAGTTCAAACAGAGACAAAATGGCCAGTAGGCAAAACAACCATTCACTTATAGTGGCTCCTCTTCAACTGGGATTAAAGGACTACTGTGAGCCTGGTCCTTCTGCAGCAGACACACTCCTATTCACCATTTTACCCGGGTGGACACTGCACTTACTCGTTTTCATGGACTTGCATCCATTTTTTTTTTTTTTAAGTTGATCAGCATGACAGGTCGTGTTGGGAAGATTGTGACTTAGATTTGAAAAGTGCTAGCTACTTTTGATGCAGCAGTGTTTTTTCTTTCATTAAACAGAATGTAGAGTCATTAATGATAATAAACTGCCTGCAGCATGGTATCAAACAACTGCTTTCCCTGACCTCTGGATGATGGGATGAGTAGGCTACAACAATCCCTGAGGGGTATCAAAGAAGTCACACTGCCATTAGAAAACACCTGACTATACTACTACTGTTACCACTCCTATTTCTGCAAGTTGAACACTACTCACAGAGAAGGATGCGTCAGGGTCGATCTGATACTTTGCAGCGATGCCAAAGCGGGTGTTGCTGTTTCCAGCGGTCCAGGCGAGGTTAACGGCTGTCTCCAGCTGGTCATTCACCTTCTGGTAGATGGAGCCACCAAACTCAGTTCCATCATTTCTGAGAAAAAAACAAAACAGATTGGAATATAAATGTACTGTAATCGTAACTATATTCAAATATGTATTCTCCTACATTATATGTGAAATGATCTTGTGTTTAGTAAACAAGTCCGACTCATACTCAGGACGTTGCATGCCACTGATGCAAAGCCTTCATTAAACTTTGTCTGACCTCACACAAACACTTCTGCTG